GGAGGCAGCACAGGGGCCAGCAAAAAAGGAGCAGAGGTTTTGGCCAGGCGCGGTGGCTCACGTCTGTAATCCCAGCACTTTGGGAGGCTGAGGCAGGCGGATCACCTGAGGTAGGGAGTTCGAAACCAGCCTGGCCAACATGGCGAAACCCATCTCTACTAAAAATCAGAAAAAAAAAAAAAAAAAAAAAAGCTGGGCATGGTGGCACATGCCTGTAGCCCCTTAGGAAGCTGAGGTGGAAGAATAGCTTGAACCTGGGAGGCGGCGGTTGCAGTGAGCTGAGATCGTGCCACTGCACCCCACCAGCCTGGGCGACAAGAGGGAGACTCCATCTCAAAAAAAAAAAAAAAGGAGCCGAGGGAACAACTCGGAGGGTCCCGGCTCAGATCCTCCCCCTCCGGCTGCTGCTTCAAGGATCTCCACAGGAAAACTCCAGGTGCCTGGCCGACAGGGACCTTGTCCCCAGCTGGCCCCCAGAGCAAATGGGAGAGGAGGGAGCCCACTTGCTGAGCCTGCCTCTTTCTCTCCAGCCTTCCACATGCATGTGATGGGCCAACCACAACACCCCATAACTGATTCATTCAGCAAACACATTCAGACTCAAACCTCCTTTGTGCCAGGCACGGGGCAGGCCCTAAGGAGTCAGAGATTAAATGTGCAGAGCCCCTGCTCACCAAGACTTCCATTGACACAGGCATGCACTCACTCAACGGTGAGCCCCTACCATCACCAAGGACCTGAGAAAAATACAAAAGGACCCCAGGTATGGATGCAAACTCCTAGAACGTGAAGGCTAGAAGAGAGCATCTGGGCACTGATCCATCCTTCCCATTTTACAGATAGGGAAACTGACCCAGAGAGGTTCACGATCTGCCCACGTGTTAGCCTGGGGCTCTATCCCACACACAAGCCTCCTCCTCCTCCTGCGTGATACTGTAGCCACCTCCCCTCCGGCGTTCCAGCGTGGCTCCGTGGCCCCTAGACCTCGCACGGCAGTTAAGTTGCTTCTGAGTGTCCAACTCATCCAGCACCACAGACCCCATTCAATCCAGGCCTCCAGCAAGGGAATGAGCCCCAGCAAACCAGGGCCCTTCTCACACATGGTGCTGTGGAGGCAGAGGTGCATTCTGCGGCCACAGATTCTATATACACAGCCGCCGAGCACATCAGGGAAAGAAAATGGAAAGTAGGGCGGGAGACAGGTGCTGAGAACCACGCAGCTCCACCCACAAAGCACAGACCCAGATTCAAAGCCCAGCTCTGTGACTTCCTTAAGCGAAGACCTTAAGCGAATCTCCTAAACTCTAGGGGTCTCCAATTTCTTTTCTTTTTTTTGAGACAGAGTCTCAAACTGTCACCCAGGCTGGAGTGCAATGGTGCAATCTCAGCTCACTGCAACCTCCGCCTCCAGGTTTCATGTGATCCTCCTGCCTCAGCCTCCCGAGTAGCTGGGATTACAGGCACATATGAATACACCTGGCTAATGGTTTGTATTTTTAGTAGAAACGGGGTTTCACTATATTGGCCAGATTGGTCTTGAACTCCTAACCTCGTGATCCACCCACCTTGGCCTCCCAAAGTGCTGGGATTATAGGTGTGAGCCGCCGCACCCAGTCTCCACTTTCTCATCTGTAAAATGCAGAGCGTAATGGTACCTGCTTCACGAGGTGGCTGCAAAGCCTCAGGAAAACAGAGCAATGAAGACTTAGCACACAGTTGATGCTTAATAATGGTGAGGCCAGACCCCCATCGTCAGAGCTGCATGCCTCAGGGACGCCTGGGGAGGCATCAAGGTCCCTGGGAAGGGAGCCACGGCAACCAGGGAGCACAGGCTGCAGCCCAGGAGGATCTGCTACCTGGCGGGGAATGCAGTGTGCTGCTGTAGACAGAGAGATCCCTCACCCAGCAGAGGCAGAGGGAGGGGGCATCTTGGTGACTCAGGGGCCCCAACAGTTGGCACTTGGCTGCCTCATCAATTGACCATAAACACAAGGGCTTATCTCTGAACTGAATTCTACTGGATCAATCTGTTTGCCCATCTTTATGTCAGTATCACACTGTATTAATTACCATAGCTTTGCAATACTTTTTTTTTTTTTGAGACAGAATCTCAAAAAATTGCGCTATGTCACCCAGGCTGCAGTGTAATGGCATGATCTCAGCTCACTGCAACATCCATCTCCCAGGTTCAAGCAATTCTCCTGTCTCAGCCTCCCGAGTTGATGGGATTACAGGTGTGTACCACCATGCTGGGTTAATTTTTTTATTTTTAGTAGAGATGGGGTTTCACCATGTTGGCCAGGCTGTTGGCAAACTCTTGACCTCAAATGATCTGCCCACCTCGGCCTCCCAAAGTGCTGTGATTACAGGCATGAGCCACCACACCTGGCTGCAATATGTTTTGAAATCAGGAAGAATGAGTCCACCAACTTTGTTCTTCTTTTTCAAGAGTATCTTTGAACTTCTATGTGAATCTCAGGATCAGCTTATCAATGTCTGCGAAGAAGCTAGCTGGGATTTTGATGGCAATGGGTTTCCAGTTCCTGGTTCAACTGCTCCTGAGCTCTGGCTCTGCTTCCTCCCCTTGGGTTCCCTGGGGGCACCCTGCTTTCTTTCCCATAAGTTCCATCTTTTGCTTAACCAGATAATACCAGATTTTTGTTTCTTGCAATCAAAGGAATCTTAACTGATAAAATTAGGAATACAGTGCTACACATTGTCCCACCTTCATCCCAATATCACCTTCCCAGATATCACCCAAAGACCCATTGGGGTCCCAATCTCAACACTGGCCCACGCCCCCAGCTCCTCCCTCAACCCTGTAACTGGTACACTTCCAGGTTACAAACATTATATTTACAAACAGGCCCTCCGTTGATAAATGCTTGTGAAATTGAACTGGATGTCCCAAAAGAGCACCAAAAGAACACTCTTAACACTCTACACCCCTCAGTAACTCTGCTTCATGCTGGCATCTCACTCAGTATGCAGATATGCTCTAGGAAAGCCAGACACTATGTGCCCATTGGACAAAAGGCATGGAAACTAAAGGCCAGACACCTCCAGATTGAATGATGTACACACGCCCTGATGCACACACCATGCCAAGCCAGCACAGGCATGGGGGTCCCACTGTCCTGTGCTATCTTTAAGACCTCCTCCAAGCAGTCTTTCAGGACTACTCCATGGCACTCTGGCCTCAGCTCTAGACTTTTTTAGATGAAGTTTTACTCTTTTTGCCCAGGCTGGAATAGAGTGGTGCGATCTCGGCTTACCGCAACCTCCGCCTCCCAGGTTCAAGCAATTCTCCTGCCTCAGCCTCCCGAGTAGCTGGGATTACAGGTGCCTGCCACTGCACCCGACTAATTTTTTCTATTTTTAGTAGAGACAGGGTTTCACCATGTTGGCCAGACTGGTATCGAACTCCTGACCTCAGGCGATCCACCCACCTCAGCCTCCCAAAGTGCTGGGATTACAGGTGTGAGCCACCACGCCTGGCCTCCTGGCATCAGCTCAACAGAAAAACTGAAAGCTCTCAAAGGGGAGGAGCAGACTGTCCCTGATCCCGGCCCTGCTCACTGCCTAGCCTCACCTTTTCAAGCAAAACCAGCCAAAGTGGGAAGCCTCTTATTTTGACCCTCTTCTATGCCAGCCCTCAAGACTGGCTGTGCTTTGCCCAGGGACCTGCGTCCAGGGATGATACACAACCAGTGCCGGCAACTGAATGGCACGACAGAAGGAGACCAGGCAGGAAAAGCCTTCTGCCGAGATGGGGGAGTGATGACCCAGGGAAGCTGCCTCGGAAGGAGGGCGGCTCATTGGAGGAATTTTCCATGCATAAGCTGATTCACATGTGCCAAGAGAATATTTTCAGCTCGAGGCCAATGCTTTTTTCCTCCTAGAATTTCCCTCCTTTCAATTCACTCCATAGGAGCAGGTGGTTAGTCAGTACTCACTGCCCCAAGGGAGGGGTGCAGCTGGAAGTAGGCTATACTCTGGTTAAGTCTCAAAGGAAAAAGGGGATCAGGTTGCAGATGAAAGAGTCTGGCCAGAAACATAGAGGAAAAGGGAATGAAGGTGGTTTGAGGTCAGACAGGTCAGAGATCCTAGGAGAGTGCTGTGCCTGCTGAGGACCTCGGCAGACAGACCAAGAGACGCGGCAAACTGAGGCAGGCAATTCCCAGACTCTTGAGTCTGGTGTGGAATCCTCAGTAAGCCCCAGGGCCTGGCTGCCCATGCTGATATACCTGGCAACAAATGACTTGATGAGCAGCAGCTGATAACACACACACACACACACACACACACACACACACACAACCCCTGGGGTGTAGTCAGGTCCCAGTAGGTGGGGAATGTCAGAAAGTCACTGACAGGATTGGGACTTCACATAAAAATTAAAGTGAGAGAAAATATAATTATCTTTTTTTTTTGGAGATGGAATCTCACTCTGTCGCCCAGGCTGGAGTGCAATGGCACAATCTCAGCTCACCGCAACCCCCACCTCCTGGGTTCAAGTGATTCTCCTCCCTCAGCCTCCTGAATAGGTGGGATTATAGGCATGCACCACCATGCCCAGCTAATTTTTGTATTTTGAGTAGAGGCAGAGTTTCACCATGTTGGCCAGGCTGGTCTCGATCCTGACCTCAGGTGATCCGCCTGCCTCGGCCTCCCAAACTACTGGGATTACAGGTGTGAGCCACTGCACCAGGCCCAATATAATTATCTTTCTAAAAATCAAAGTGACAGATTATGGGCCTGAATGTCACACCTGCTACACACACTCCCTCCTGGCCCCTGGTGATTCCATTCCCACCCCTACCTTTCCCTGAACACCCCAGGAATAAGTTCCAATCTGGAAGCATCATGGACTCGGCCTGGAATCTGACAAACATGACAGCCCCTTTGTGTCTCCCACAACCTGCAGGGAACGAGGGCCCCCAACGCACCCCGACCCGCCATCATCGCTGGCCTTTACAGAACAGGAAACAGCCACTTACTTGACCTTCAGACTCGCCAACATGGTCTTGTCGATCCTGCCAAGGGAAAAGCAAGGGTTCCGGTAAGTGCAAGGCTGAAGGCTCCCACAAGCAGCTGCAGGGGAAGGTCCCCGGGGAAGCCCAGACCACCAGACGGCGGGCTCTGTCTGCACGGCTACAGGGGCCCATTCCCCATTAGCAGAGGAAGAGATGACCATGAATGCTGGGAGGGCTGGGGCCACGCACCACCCTATAACATGGGTACTATAATTCTCCCCATTTCAGAGATGAGAAAACTGAGGCTTAGAAAGGTAAAATCACTGGCCTGGTCTCAATTCAGGTATCGCACTTCAGGCCCAGGGATCGTAAGCACTTTGTGTGTGGCCTCTCCCTTTATTAGGGCTACCCCCACCAGAGGACTCAGCAGCCCAGCTTCATGGGTCAGCATCAGGTGGACATCCATATTTCCCAGGCGTCTGATTTGGGAAGATGTAGGCACCCCCAGCACCAAGGACCCTCCTGCCCTAGGAGCTGCCAGTCCATCCAGGGAGGCAGACTCTGCTCCTGGGGCAGAACCTGGGGCGTCATATCAGGCACAAGTGTTCAGGGCGGGGAAGATCACGTTTGCTGCAGACCATCTTGACAGCCAGCTCCTCCACCCCCAGCCTGCGCCTGCCCTTGCTGGAAAGGGAGGTGGCACCGCCGAGCTTCTATTTTTACCCCCTGCGTATGCCAGCCCTTATGGATGGTACAAAGAGGCCCCTCCTCCCTCTCCAGAGGCAGAAAGGTGGGCAGCGTTCCCACTGTCAGTATCTCCTCTTGTGGAAGGGTCATGACCACCTCCGTCACCAGCACTGCCACCAGCACCGACGCTGCCTTCGACACATCACGATGCGTGCCACCATCACTGTCCCTGTCACCACACGTCACCAACACTATCATCAGTGTCGCCATCACCATCAGCTTCACTAAAATTGCCACCGGCTCCAGGATGCTGGAAACCCTGGACGCTCTTTCCGGCACCCTTGTCTGGCAGGCTCAGCTCTGCCTCCAGCTTCCCACACGCACGACTCCAGGGGAGAGGAGAGGAGAGGTGTCAGACACGGAGCTGGGCCAGCCCACAGGTCACCCTGAAGCCTGGAGCTAGGGGTGGGGTCCTTCCACTCTGAGTAAACTCCCAGGACCTTTGACCTCAGTTCCAACAGCAAAGTAAGCGGCACCCCGAGGGGCCTGGTTCATGCCCCTCCCAGTTTCTTCCCCAAAGGCCCTCTTGAGTCCCTTCCTTGGGACTTCCACCACTAGTCCCTGAGGGTCTCATGCTGGAATCCCCACCCACTCTGGGATGCAGACCCTCCTCTTCCCCCATTCAACCCACAGATGCCTAGATCCAAGCAGGACTCAGAGCCCACACTCCGCTGTAATGCCTGCAACCCAGAGCTGACCAGTGGCAACCCTTAATAATACACCCTTAGGTTTTACATTTTCTCAAGGAATCTCTTAATTCTTTTTTTTTTTTTTCCAGATGGAGTCTCACTCTGTCGCCCACGCTGGAGTGCAGTGGCATGATCTCAGCTCACTGCAACCTCCACCTCCCAGGTTCAAGTGATTCTCCTGCCTCTGCTGGGACTACGGGGGCGCACCACCACACCCGGCTAAGTTTTTACATTTTTAATAGAGACAGGATTTCACCACATTGGCCAGGCTGGTCTCGACCTCCTGACCTCATGGGAATCTCTTAATTCTTACAACATCCCTGTGCTGTGGGTAAAGTAGAAATCCCCCGTTGACACATGGGGAAACTGAGACCCAGAGAAAGGAAGTGTCCCATTTGAGTTCCTCAGTGGTCAAGTGGAGTCAGCGGTGGAACCCGGGCTCCAGGTGCGTGCACCTCTGACCTCTGTCTGGTCAGCCCCGCCCACCACAGCGCCCACAGGCACCCTGGTCACAGCAGCCCTGATCCCTGATCCACACCCACACAGCAGCCAGCCACCATGGTTCCTACACCAGGGCGAGGCCTCGGGAGGGCGGGGCTGTGGTTTTGGAGAGGCTGAGATGGGAGATGGAGAGCAGCTGTGAGGCTGGGCCTTCCCCTTTCAGGAAGCCAAGGCTCCTGGGCGCTCCTCCTCCCCTACCCCATCCCACCCACCCACATCACCTTGTCTGCCCCTGAGGCCAGAGGTTACCCACCCTGCATCCAATGCAGCTTGGAAAACCCCACCCCCCAAGACTCTGTTCACTGTCTGGAAGGACCAGGGCTCCAGGAATCTGTGACATCCCCTCCCAGCTGGCGGCCACCCTAGATGATGCCCAAACCCCAGTCTCACCCTCTTTCTGGCTGCCCTAACATTCCAAGCCCAGAAGGCCCCACCATCCCCTCAACCTCAGTGGGCCCCAAGCAGACACATGCTGTGTGTAAAAGACCTTGGTTAGTTCACCCGCATCTACTGAGCCCGTGTGACAGGCCAGGCTTCCGAGAACACAACAGGGCAGGGCCTGCCCTCCTGGAACCCACAGTCCAGTGGACACTCAGTCTGCACACAGGGGCCTCTGGGACATCCTAGGGCTCTTCCTCCACCTTCGGCTCTGCCTCAAAAGCAGCCCTGGGCAGCCACACTCCTGTCTTCCTCCTCACCTGCCCAGATGCAAACCTCAGGCCCGGCTTTGCCTCTAGCTCCAGAGCAGCAGGTCTCCACACAGGGGCTTCAAATGGAATGAAGTGATGCTGAGACCCGGACCTGTGCCCAGGGAGCTTTCTGACGGCCAGCCTTCCATTTGCGCCACACCTCCCAGAGAAAGGCGGGCCTCAGGGGGTATAATCTCACTGCTGGGCCCTGCCCTGCAAGGCTCCCAGCCCAGACACACACACCCCTCCCAACCAGAAGCCAACTCCTCTGCTGCCTCCCGGACACTGGCACCTACCCTCAGGACGGCAGCTCCCAGGCCCCAGCATCAGGGAGGGCCCAAGAGCAGACATAGGCCACACCGTGCCATTTTCTTCTCATCCACACTGTCCCATCTGCCACACATGGGGTGCCCACATCCCTCCCCACCAGAGGATGGACGGTAAAGTGCTTTTGAAGGGGAGGAAGAGGGACATAAAAAGCCACACATGGAAGAGAAAGGTTACCAAGGATCGCAGCCCCTCTCTCCCTCACCCTTCATGCCACCCCTGTTAGTCCACCATTTTCCACACCCAGACACCCCCGGCCACCTGCCTCGGGGCCCCTCCCAGTCCGACAACACCCCCAGCCCAGGAGCTGAAAGGAAACCGAGCATGAAAACCACCAGACAATGTTCCCCAGCTGCGGAGAAGCTGCCAGCACTAGGAACCAGGGACAAGCCGTTGGCCTCTGTGTGCCTACTTTCTGCCCCCCAGGGAGGAAACAGCACATCCCTCGTCCCAGACAGAAGTTTAGAAGCAAGAGTGGCCAGAGGGCCAAGCAGGAGGCTGGGGACAGACGCAGCTGCTAGGACAGAGCTAGTGGGGGCTGCCTGGCGTGCAGGTGGGAGACCTCCTCTCACAACCCACCCCCAAGACAGCAGGCAGCCCAGGGGCCCAGAGGTCACAGACCCCCCCACTGCAAGGCCACACCAACAGCACAGACAGGAGCATCACACACACACACACACACACACACACACACACACACACACACACACGCAGCTCAGACATGGAGTGCATGCGTGGCCACACACACAGGCACATGCTCACACAGGGTCACATGGACTGCCAGTCACAGCCACACACGCCTGTACACACGGGCTCACACACACACTTACACGTAATCCCAGACACACACACACACATATGCAGGAACCTGCGGACACAGAGACACACACATTCAACTGCAGTCACACGCACTCGAGCGCTCACCCGCCCACGGGCAGCCGGCGCAGACCTGCAGGATTCGCCAGCACATTGTGCCCAGAGACAGTGGGGAAGGCTTACGGTCTCTGATATCCCTACTGGAATCCTGCATCTCCACCTGCCAGGGCGTCAGCAGACCCAGCTCTCAGGCACAGCCCGCACCCCTCTGTTCCCACGGCCACCAATGTACTCAACAAGACTTCACTTCTAAGTTCTCTCCCATTGCTCAACCGCCCTCCCACCTGTCACCCACCATCCGAAGCCCCCAAAGGAGACGCTGCGCTTCCGGCCAAACATGGTTGTGGCTGCAGAGCCCCGGGTCCCAGCAATGTCCCCGGGGCTGTCTGCAAGAGGGCCGTGGTACGGCAGGGTCAGTGCCGGCGCAGGGCGGGGCGCCCAACGTGGCACCTCCCTCTTTGCCTGCCCCCAGCCCGAGCTTCCTGTGGGTGAAGCTGCAGGCTGGGAGGTGTGTCCTGCTCTCCAGGAGGCACCAAGATAGGCCGAGGAGGTGGTGGAGGGCAGCTTCCCCACACCCAGAAGAACCCACAGCTCCGGAAGGGGCTCGGCTGGCAGATTGCTCCACAGCCCAGTTTGCAGCCCGGCCCACACAGCCCCAGCTTCCCAGAACCCAAAGGCACCCAAAGGATTCCCACAGCCACGCCTAGGAGTGACAGAAAGATGCAGCTGGAAGCCTCAGAGGTGCCTGAGCACTGGAGTCCTTCACGCCCACTCCCAAGGGCTGCCTGAGACAGGGACCTTTGCCAGCCTGCTCCACCATGGCTCAGCATATGCCAGAGGAAACAGCCATACATGTCATTACGCTGGCACACATGGATGTAAGTATACATGCACATTTGTGGGCATGGGGGCACATGGGATGCACACATGGGCACATGCACGCACAGGAGACCGAGGTACACACAGATACATGCATGCTGACATGCATCTCATCAGACACCTGCACACACCCCAGATCACAGTGCTGCACACTCGTGTGCACAAATGCACACTCATGCAACTCCACAGAGGCATCAATAGACACACCTGCACACCCTTCTCATCGACTGACAGCTCCCCACTGGATACGCACACAGACCTGAATGCATGCACATGTGCTCACAGTCACTCATCAACACACGCAGACCACACGCACAACTCTAGGTGCATTCACATGTACACACACAGGCAC